AAAAGCACAAAGCAGACAGACAAAACTTGCCAAACGTTGAAGCATGAGCACCAGTGAAAATGCACTCAAACACCATTCTTTGGGGGCAATAAGATGTGCTCTTCTATGGGGTTTGTTATGTTTCCCATTAAATAAAGGAAAAACTATAAAAGGACCAGCAATGATGGTTTAGCAGTTACATTAACCTTGTAGTCACGGTGCTTGTATGTCCATTCATATAATTTATATAGGCCAGTGATATCAACTAAGCACCTATAAAGGTTCCATGTATAGTGACCGTACCTTGTTCATTGGCTGACATTGAAAAAGGCCCATTTGCCCTTATTTTTTGAGGTTTCTAAATGCTATGCGGAGATAATATCCGTTTCATTGTCCTCATTCTCTTCTTTCTCATCAACAGGAGGGTACTATTCTCAGATCTACAAGACAAATGCCTCTGGTATTCCTCTAAGAATCATCAGTTTAAACACAAATCTGTATTACTCTCCCAATAAAGAGACATTTAACATTACTGACCCAGCCGATCAGTTTGCTTGGCTGGAAGAGACGCTACAATTTTCCCGCCAAAACAATGAAAAGGTAATAGACCCTTGTGTGTTTATACTGTAAATGGCAATAAAACAAGATAACATTTAATAGAGCATTCATTTTAAGAATATGGCAGAAAACAGCTATCTATAACAAAATGGTAGCTCCCCAAAACAGTAACTTGCACAAACACTTCAAATAGGGTACTAGGAATTACAGAAGAGCAATGGCGAGATTTACTGTGTTTCATCCGACCACTGGGAAATAGTTCCCTTGAAACATGATTTGCCTTTCCTGTATGCTGCTTTATGCTGAATAGACATTAAGGAATCTATATCCTCTGGAAAGAGTTCGTCTCACTCTCTCACTCATTCCTCTGCTCAAGAAATCACAGATGTAACATATAATTCAATCTGCATACTTGTTCCAGGTCAGTAACTCAGAATTTGAAGTGTCAGCATAAGAACCAGGTACCTACCATTTTTAGAAGCAGGTCAATAATTGTGGCCTTTGTATGTCTGGCATAATGACTTTAATATCTTTATTTTTGGGTAGCACTTTGATCCTACATAGCATGATGATGCCACACACGTTGTTGTATCATTGATATAAAAATCTGTCATGTGGCATTTCTCTAACATACTCATAGCAGGGATCGGGATTTGCCTCCCAGCATTTTAACATGCTCACCTACTAAAATGCTTTACATTTGATAAATGTGATCTTCACTCGCACAGCTAAATACACAATTGCAACACATAAATGGGAACTGTTTTACCTGTAATTCTGTTCACTCTTGGAGGAGTGTGTTGTGATCTAGACCAGCATTTCTCAAACTTTTTCAGTCATGGCATTATGCAAAATCTTTAGCCACCCCAGTCTAAAAGGTAAATCACATAAAAGGAAAAAAAATTGTGCAACCCCTTCAAAATCGGTACCAGTCCCTTTTCCCACAGAGGGGTGTGGTATGGATTTCGCGGAGGGGGCATGGAAAAATAAAAAAAATATATGTT